TTTCGAATGGCGCTATATGAATTTTAACGGATTCATGTCTTGACAATACAAGAGAAAAGAACCATCGTCCCCTTCCTCATTCTTTCATGAATTCTCGGTGCACCAGTTGAATCCGGGAAAATATAATAATTGAATCGTGCCATCATATGTTATCCTTCCAATAACACAAATTTTAACCTATTCATTCACATTGAATTAAGAGGATCATTTTTATCTGAACATGATAACTGCTCATTTTCATACGAAAAATTTACCCATTTTTTTCATTCATTCAATTATCTGGTAAACTTTCTAATAAGAATTTCATGAAAATCAATGCGCCAACGCCAGGCAGAGCCAAAAAAAAAGGAAAAGCTTGTAGTATATCGAAGGACGGATATAAGACTGACAGAAAATCTAGTGGAAATGCTTCATCAAGCCTTGACAGCTGTTAATTAGGACTAAGCATGCAGTGCAATTTTTCTCAACAGGTCTCTTCTGCACTTTCTAAAACGATGTCTATGGCGGGATCAGACATCATTTTGGAAGGTGCAGGAGAGACATTTCTGATTTTCATGATAATATTTCTGATTGCGTCTTCGATCATTATTATTGTTGTTACCGAATGTCTCCTGAAACCTTTCAACAAGTTGAATTTCATGATCTTTCAATATGGCATAATTACCCTGATATTTGCTGAATATTCCTGCACTATTCTCTACAGATCTTGCAAATCTTATCCGATTATGATGTTTATGGATCACGTTGAAGTAAATTTTGATCTTCGAAACTTTTTTGTAATCAGATTAAAGACCTAATATATGAGTGTTTAAATAAGTACTTCGTCAGACAAGGGCAGATCGAGAACATTATGGTAAGGTAATGGATGAAAATATATTCTCTCTAAATCAATTTTTCTTTAAGGGATTAGGATGTGAATCGTACAACTTGGTTTCAGGATGATAAAAGTCGGTACACAGAAGTGTGTCGTACAACTTGCGAGACATAATATCATTGAAAAAAAATGATAAGGCTATTGATGGCTTGATAGGAGGGAGAGGAAAATTGAAAACGGGATAGCAATGGAGGCCAAGACTGAAGATTGTTTTCCCACCATATTCGTTTCAAGCGGTTCGTCTTCCTGAATATTATATTCAATTTTGGCAGTTACGGGTGAGAAATAGTTCTTAACCGTATTGAACGTGGGAGAGGGATAGAGGAGAAGAACCAATACACCGCTAGAATGCTGGATATGATGCTCACAGCTGTGTATATTTACATATCTATATGCCAGGGAGAGTTGGATCGAAAAGCTTTTATTGGATGAAGAATAGCCGAAAGCTTTGTAAGTGCCAAAAATAAACAGCCCATCGTAATAGTGATGACAGTTTACTTAGTAAACAAATATACGAGCAGAAACTGACATATCAGTTTGAAGGTCGAAAGATTAAGTTTACGAAAAGTTCTGCAGTGGAAGAGAAGCTGTAATAACACACCGTCACTGAAATTTCAGCTATCAAAGGGGGGAAAAAAACAACGGAATATACAACCTGCGTAGGCGTAGCAAATGCATAGGCGAGAAGTAGAAAAACTAAATATGAGATAGGAGTATATATGCGACATATCCAATGTGAAGGTTTTTCCTGGGTGTCCATTTACATTTCAATAATATCGTCCTCATTAAATCATCGCAGTGATGTAACTCAGCAAGTAACTGAAACAACCATGAGCCCAGTAGAGATAAGTATCCAATACCTATTAAGACCAATAGTTTACACTAAAATGATAGCTTTCAAGTAATGAGGAAAGAGCTATTCAATGTTAAAACCTTAAAATGCTGATACTCGATAATTAATTAATACTGACAATATACATTGATGAATTCTTGTAAAGGTATACGGAAGCACCATACAATAGCAAAGATAATTGAATTTCAATATGTTTGAAATTGCTAATTTTAGTAATTAATATGAAAATAAATCTTGATCAAAAATATGATGCCATTGTATGGTATAAAAAGGTTCAATCTCTTTCGATGGGTATTACAGTTTTCTTTGTATGATGACCAGTTTGTTGTTTTGACTGTCGCAGAATCCTATGGCTATTCCTTTCTTTCCTCATGTACAGATCACATGTGCTTAAAATTCTTACCATACCAAATACAAACTCCGAACTATTGTTTAATCGCGAGATATTGAGTTTTCATCAGCAAAGCATTGTAATCCTAACATAAAGGTTTACCTCATTATCACCAAAACATTACACAACGTAAGATTAAGCAACCGGCTGGAGATGAGCAAGTTTTGATCAAAAACGTACGCATTTGATAACTGCCAGAAAATGACCTTTGGACTTTATAAATTCAAAGATCATTCATTGCCCTCCTCAGTACACCATCATTGCCCGAATAAACAACGAAGATGAAACACGTAAGAGAGGAACTCTGCTGATGGCATCTGCTATTTATTTCACGAAAGTATAGTTTTTCAGTGATGTCGTATCAATTTTTCTTCTGCATTCACAGGAACCGGTTTCGTTTGAAGCTTAGACCAAACAAATGAAATCACCACTAGTTGCATGTATCTCTCACCTTGTCTAATGAGTTTTCTTCCATCCTAGGAAACTCTTAGTATGATTTCAAATTTGTAAACACAACTGAATAATCATCCCAAAAGGAGAATTGATGTAACAATCACCACTTTCACTGAAAAAATCCCGCATGCTTTCGTCGGATTACCGAAATTAAAGCTATGTTCAAATAAAATTGCTATAATATCCAACAGAGAAGGTGACGAAATCTTGCAAGTAAAATTAAAGCGATGACGAGGATATAAGCTAACAAAAAGATATCATTAGTACCTACACAATGTACAATGCCAAAGGCTAGCCATACCTCCATGATAACCCCGATGGAGCTT